ATATATGTTAGACTTATATAGCGCATTGTGACAGGCCTTGCGCTTCACAGTATTATTACCCCGTGAAATTAAGGACACAAGTACAATGCACAGCGAGGGATTGAAATCCCGACCCAAATGCAAGGAAACATCGATCATCTAAAATAAATGAATCGTCATAATAATGTTTATATGTTTTGGTTGATTAGCAATCGAATTAGATATATAAAGATAAATATAATCAGTAGCTCTGCCAAGATAACAAGACAACTGATTAGGATTTTGATTTAATGTGTTACGGTAGCTCTGCCAAGATAACAAGCAAGTTGATTGCTGTGATTTAAATATGTGTTACCTAAACATCTTATGCCCGTGTAGCCATGGTTGCACGTTGCATTCATATTGCAGCCGTTGGAAGGATCACACTCACTTGCATTACAATGACAATCTTGTAGACAGTCAGCGCCATACTTGCAAGCTTCACATTCTGAATACAACAATTCACATTAACAAATATATCTCAAAAAATACTGAAATTAATACAATAGGTGCTTGTATATGAATTTTTTACATTACAAATGTACTTTCCGTTGTTCTGAGAGTGTTTTTTTTTTTTTCAGGTGAAAGTGCGGTGAGGCTTATGTTGTGTTATCACTTGGCCGATTCCACCGCTGTGACCGTTCAAACGAAAATTTTCGTTGGTGATCGTTTATACTTGTACAATAATTTAAATTAAGTAAACATTTAGGAGCTTTTGCGCGCTTTACTATGCTGCCTTCAATTTTAGTTTTTTTTTTTCAATTATCATGCTTGACTGGTTCTATCTAACGAGCAGCAGCTCGCATTGCAGAGATGAAGGACGAGGTTTCTTCTAAAGCGGGCAGCTTCATCCGGAGTTCCTTAACACGGTCACAGCAACGAAAATCTGGTGCTCTACTACTACTACTTGTTGGTAAGGGGATTAGACCGTTCACTCATAGAGAGGGGTTGGGAAGGGGTGTCACGGGAAGCAGTGGTGGCTTAGCGGGGCAGGGAGCTTAAGCCCCACCGGACAGGTCATGTCCCCACCCCTCGGACAGAGCTCGTCGGGCAGTCAGGCCAAAACAATATAAAAAATAGGCCCACACCAAGCCAACACATGTTTGTCACAGTCTGAGACTGCCATTTTCGACCATCCAGAGATTCCTATTCTTAAAAAAATCTCATTTGGAAGGGTTAACCCCCTCTCTCCCTTCTCCCAGCTCGGGCCTACGAGCTCAAGTCCCCCTGTCGGACAGCTTAGCCCCCCCCCCCACACTATAAATCCTAGAGCCACTGACGTGAAGATAAACGGAAAATTATTTATTTACAATTGATCAGCAATAAGAAATATCATCATCATCATCATCATTATTATTATAATTACAATATACCGGTAACTTACTGGTGGGTGGGTAAGTATAGTTAGTTGGATAAAAATGCTAATTATCTTCTGGCTTAATCATGGGTGATTACAGTGATTCTTTTAACTTCAGGAAAGTTGATTTTTGCTTACGGCCACACAGGGGCGGATCCAGAAATTTCCAAGGGTGGGGGGGGGGGGAATAGGGCGAAATGTGGGCCGAAAGTGAGGCCGATCGAGAAAATACTACCCTAGGTAGTATTATCTCGATATTTTTGTGTTCTAGACGCACGAAAATAACCTCTGAGGCGTTTTGGGCGATAACTTGTGTTTTCTTTCTTTTTTTACCTTCCAGAAGAGGAGGTCGGGGCCGACCGTCTCCGTCCCCCCTCCCCCCAAATCCGCCCCTGCACAGTGCTCAAATAAAAACAAGAGTAAATGTTAGCGTTTGGGTATCATTTATTAAGAAAACTAAATTGCTCTGAACAAATTCACTGAGTGCATATATACGCCCATCATATATTTTACATAAAAATAATAGCATAACTTTATGCCACAAAAAATGGGCTGAGTGCAGGACTAGCGTCGGCAGCAAATCCGTCACAGCAGCTCCCATATGGGTGAAGGGGGAAAGGAGGAGAAATCGAGTAATATTATCAGACACCGGTAATTAACTAAAATAACAATGTAAAGCATGAAACGTAACTACTGTAACACATATTAACATTTTGCCCTCTCCCGTTTGTGATATTACACTCATTTCACATACTCGATTATTAAGATTAACTTTGAAGTAGGAATTTGTAAATCTCAATCCTGTAGTAAACTTACCCGTTTCACATCTAAGTCCTTTCCAGCCAGAGTGGCAGGCACAGCCTTGTGGCATAGGTGGACAAATCAACATCCCCTTGCATCCGTCATTGTTACCAGTTTTACACGGGGTTTGACCATCACGTCCAAAATGATTACCATCAGAAGCTGAAAAACAAAGCAGATGTTTACGGTGCAAATCACACTACAAACAGTTGCTCTCACCCCCACTCTCTCCCCCCTCTCTCCCTCGCTCTTCAACCCCACCTCTCTCTCTCTCTCTCTCTCTATATATATATATATATAAGTTAAATATGTGAATTAGAAGTAAAATGTAATATTTTTATATCTTGCTTAAATTTGTTAATTTGAAAGTCTACGGTACCGTATCTCCTATATACATTATTTTTCATTCTAAATTTCACTTGAAAGCTATTATTTTATTCAAATATAAGTAAACAATTAAAATATTGAAATGATATTTAACGCTTATGAGACATTACAATAAATATATAATTCAATAAAGCAACTCTCTACGACCAGCGTTTGCCAAGATATGAAATTTACACCTAATTTGCATTTTAACCTAGTTTGCATATGAACGAGATATGTCATTAAGTTGTGATTTCTTGAATTTCAATACCTCGTCATATATGTTCATTAAAAAAATGTTTGCTATATTTTTTAGCCTATTTTATATCAAAATATGGTATTTGGGAGTCTATTTTGTTTATGCTAATATCTCAAATTGGTCAATGCTTACCAACGTCAAGTAAAATTTTGTTTGATACTGACGATTTTGACAATCAAAATCCATCAAAAGAAAACTTAAGACAAAAAAGATTAAACCTATAGTGACTGCGGATTACTACTATAAACATCCGAATGACAAACAAGTTCCGATGTAGAGTATGTATCACAGACGCCCCCATTATAGCATTATGCCTATCTAGGTTTGTGTAATTATATTTCTGATTAGTCTCTGTATATGTCCTGTTTACATTTAAAGTTAAAAAAAGTAATTTACATTGGTATACTAACATGTTTCGCAACTAGCTCCGGTAAATCCCGAAGGACATATACAGGTTCCGATGTATGTATCACATACTCCTCCGTTGTAGCATACCTCACAATCCATGGTACAGTTAGGTGGAGACCACTTGTTATGTGGACATTCTGAAACACAAGTCAACTTATTGAATAATAAAGTAAAATTCACATATTACAACA